TATATATATATGTATATATACATATACATATATATATACATGTATATATATACATACATATACATGTATATATATATATATATGTATATGTATATATATACATATATATGTATATGTATATATATATTTGTATACGTATATATACATGTATATATATATGTATATGTATATTTATATGTATATATATATATATGTATATGTATATTTATATGTATATATATATATGTATACGTATATATACATGTATATATATATATGTATATGTATATATTTATGTATATGTATATATACATATATATATATATGTATATATACATATATATATATATATATATACATATATATATATATACATATATATATATATACATATATATATATATATATACATATATATATATATATATACATATATATATATATATATCCCTCCAAAATTTGTCATGTTCATATTTATTCCTATAAATTTATGTTTAACATATGTACCCTTACAAAACCTAAAAATTTATGGATATATTGTTGCAGTTTATCTACCTCAGTTGAGCATTTTAGGTCTCTAATATTTTAATTGAATCGATAACAAGCTATAATAATTTAATTTTGTTCGGTGCATTTAAAAGTTTAATATATTTTAAATTCAATGATAACCATGATTTATAGTAGTTATTTGAGTTGTTAAAGGAAGTGACAGACATACATGAAAAATCTAACTATTTGGAGGGATACATACATATAATACAATATAAAACATTCAAAGGTTTCAAATAGACATGTAAAATACTAATCTCTTTATGCCTTTTATTATGTAGTTTAGCTGTTTATGGTTGTTCTTTCTACAATCAGAATGTTTCAGTATTAGATAGGTTAATAAATTACCAACTTGCTCTGAGGTGAATGAAGCATGGCCCAGTCAAGTTGATCACATATTTTGGTCATATGCATACATGCAATGCATCTCATCTAACTCATAACTATACTGTTGTTGTTTTTTTTATGTTGTTAGCTTCTTGATGTTGTCTACTCCCAATTGTCTCTCTTGGATTTCAGCTCAAAGACTACTTACCCTCACTGGCATTGCTGTTCCCACAATTAGAGGTTGCTCCAACCTACTAACTTAGTGTTCACATAATTTGAATCATATTGTCTTCCATTGCTAGTACATTTTCCCTTATTCTTGTTAATTAATTCTGTGTTTTGCCATATGACTCATAATAGATTGGTAACTGTAAAATGGAGTTCAATTTCTCTACTCCTAATGTGTGAGTGTAATTTAAATAAATGATTAATGCAACTAATTCCAAATGATTACACTTTAATATTAAAAATAAGGAGGTTTTCAAATAGTGATTCCAATTTCTTAAATGAAGAAGCACATCAAGGAGTAGAAAATTGATGTAAATTATGAAATTGATGGGGTTAAACTATTTTTGTTGGAAAATATTTTTTTAGTGTGTTGCAGGATATTAATGCAAAAATAGTGATTTATTGGCTTTTCAAGTAATTAACACATTACTCATTTTGCTGTTGGTGAATTTGTAATTCAACACTGAATGTTACTACTACAAATTTGGATCCTGTGCAAAGGCCCCGGCAAGACAAGCTGCCACGCATCGATCTCATTGGGCATCGAGGTGAGCCCCACGGTTTCGGCCAATGGAATGCTCTGATATGACGCCGCGGCATCGAACAGCCTTTACGGTCTGTTACACCCACGAACTAGCCGACACGTGTCCTCGCGGCACCCTCGCCACGGTGGGCGGCGGCCAGTTTTGGTTTGACCCAGCCGCCATGCGTCATTGACGCACGTGAGATAATGGAGCCGCGGGTCCCACGTCTGCCAACCCCGTCTGCTCCAATAGAATCGTCCCACCCCAGTCGTGCATCCCCAGACGGGTATAAAAGGCCGAGACCCCAACGTTGGACTTCCGCTAACTGAACTCGTCCCCCTTCACACACACACACACACACACACACACTCTCTCTCTCTCTCTC